ATTAATAATTTTAATTAAAATTGATTTTTTTCTAAATTAAAAATAAATGATACACATGTGCGTATAAAAAAAACTTTTTTTTAAGTGAGGAATAAGTGAACGATTCATCTTACTAATAATAAAATTTAGTGAACAAGTAGTTATATAGACATCATACATGTGCGCAATACATATATATGTTGCCGTTGAACTGATTGGTAACAGCATTGACCTTCTTAATCCGATTGCGTGGTTCAGCCAAATCGTGACGATCCGGACGAATCAAATTCGTGCAATTATGCCTTGTCATTGGAGACAATGAAGAAGCGGAAACGTTAAAAGAATAATAGACGCTGAGTTAAAGTCATTAAACATGATTTTATACACTCAGAACGATTTGCGGTAGTTCTTATCTCCGTCATCTTTTTCTTTGCCCATTATCTGATCTTTATATCTTTGTCTGCGTCGTTTGAATGACTAATCTCGGCTGGTCTGGTCCTTATGTAACAGCCAATGTGAAAAGGTTGAGCCTATTTCGCGATCTCTCTACGTAGCGAGTTCTCTTCTTCCAACGATTCGCACAGATCGCTATCGTTGCTTCGTCTTGTTTTAAAAGGTTCAGTTTCCTTGAGACACCCAGTATAGTGTCTCGAGACAACTCGCGTGACTTCTATTCCTCGCAGACCACTGAACTCCCGCAAGCTTAGCAACTGAACACTCGCCTCGTGTTTCCAGTGACGACACGTGCACTCACACAGAAAACTTAATCGCGAGCGCGAAATAAATGGATTCGTATTGATACTGGCGGCGATGGCGGGATTGAATCATCCCTACTCTGAACCGTTTCTCTGAACTGTTTCATGGTTATATAATTTGTACTCAGAAATCGTGTACTGGAATTATAAATATCTATAGCACGATTATGTTCGATAATAAACATGTTTAACGTAATGATGACATCTCATCAAATGTGTGTCAAATATATTAAAAAATAATCACTTCATCTTTAATTTGACTACATTTAGAAAATTGCAAATCTCTCAGCGATCTGCAATTATTCCGTGAACGGAAGTTTAAGCAGTTAATGCGAGTTAATTGGAGCGTTTCACGAAATTTTAATGAGAGAAAAAAACTGTACTCTGCAAAATGTAAGGAAATATAAATAGTCAAGGTCGTGCCTTGGTAGACGTATTTAGAACCGACATATTTCTTTGCTGAAAATTGATGTTGAAAATTGAGCGGCGTCTGTGTTTATGACTTTTTGTAATCATCTGTGAAAAATAAGGCAATTACAAGAAAGAGATAGTGAAAAAGAGTGTCAGACGACTGGCCAAAATCATCAAGGTTGCCAAGCAGCTCAAGAATATACAGGACGTACCAGACTTGCTGGAATAGCGGCGGAACCGACGAACGGGGCCAGAAAGAGGGGATGGAGAAACATAGTAGGGAGAGAACGGAAGGAAGAAGGGGAAACACGACGCGAAAGGAAGAAAGAGAGAGAAGAAAAAAGAGAAACTGAGAAAGATAGGAAGAGGAAAGGTGTCAGTTCGGGAAATTTCCATGACGTAGCTGCAGCCGTGCCACTTGCCATTGTCGTTAGACACGTCACGAAGCGATTGACCGAGCAAGTTAAACAATTTGGGGAGAAAGGAGGAACGTGTAATTTAAAAAAAAAACTAGTTTCGATTACGAAAGAAGGAAGAAACCCATTTTGGTGTCGGTGTCAGAACGGCAGAAGAAATATATGAATAAAAACTAATCGGAACCATGAAGATTGTAGAAAGGCTTACGTGAATGTCGATTTCTACGAATTCTGTTACTATAAAGAAATCTTTCATCACAAAAATAGAAGATTTCCAAGAGACTCGATCCAAGCATACTGATAACTGCTTATCCGTAATAAAATCAATAATATACATTGTTTTTAAAATCGTAATAAATTTTAAGTTTTTAATCAATATAAAGAACAATATAAAAGATGATATAAAAATCTAGCTTATAAGAGAGAGAGAAGATATTTGAAATATTTCCAAGAAAGCACAATTTCTACAATCACGTGAAAACAATCCGTTCTCGAGTTAAATTTAACCTGTGAGACTACTGTTGTGCAGACGGTTTGTTCGCTACATGGCATCGATCGCCGATACAAAGTCAACGCACGGCCAGCGAGTCTCGAGGAAAACCACCTTCGTCGGCAATCGATCGGGGTCACAACAGAAACTAGACATTCGATCAGACGATAAAAAGGACAATGTTTATTCATTCCGAACTGAAATGAACAAAATAGAAAAATAATACTGCACCCCATCTGCGTTAAATTTGCCTGACAATAATCTTGAATAAATTTTAAATTTAAACTTAAATAACTTTAAAAATACAAAAAGATGTTATCTTTCTTACATCAAAATCGTCCCATTTAAAAATGAGTGACGTTCAAAGAAGGTCTACGTGTGCTGACACATAATCATGGAAAGCTAAATATTATTGAAATTTTAAATAGCCACATGCGTGATGCAAAGGTCGATCAAAAATACACTTTTACGCCATGGCCAACTTTCGTGTTCGTTAAAAGTGCCAAACTAAAGAAATCTTAATGCTAAGAAAATTATTTTACTCTATGGCGAAATACACATGTATATATACATATATGAGTATACAGTATTATTATGCAAATTCTCAGCACAGTTTTTTTTTCAAAATGGTGAGAACATCCGGTGCGTTTATCATATTGAAATAATGGAATATGACTCTATATGATGTCATCAAAAACAAATGGCGTTGATAGAGCGCATTCCGAATTATAGAATCAAAAAAGTCGCGATGAAACAGATAAATTGCGATAAGGCACGTTTTTCAATTCCAAAAAAATATGTGGCAATGAATGACGCACGTTACATTTTGTGTATTATGTGTTGCATTAATTGAAAGAGAACGACCGCGATAATGATTTCTCGAGAAATAACAATTTTTATCAAACGTTTTATTTCACGATGACTCAGGAGATAACTAAAATATTAGGAAATTCACAATCGTTATAACAAAGTATCAACATTGCGTTATGTTGTATATCTCTTTATCTTAACAACGTCATCAATTTATTATACATACACATATATATTATGTACGTATATATTAGGTGTACAAATAAATTCCCGCCGTTTGACAAAAGACGGCGCCACTAGCAAGCTATGGTTAAAATTGTCTGATATAAAACATTATATCGTAAGGTTGGACATCTGTCAACAACATAACCTTGAAATACTAGCGATTTTGCATCAGCATCATATATTTTTTTTTGTGCGAAAATACCGAGTTTTGAGCCGAATAAACATCATTTGCGGGAACTTTTGATTTACTTCTTTAATTTGAAGAAATCTACAGCTGAGGCTCATCGATTGCTTGTAGAAGCATATGGTAAGGCTGCCTTAAGTGAAAGAAGTTGTCGTGAATGGTTTCAAAAATTTAAGAACGGTGAATTTGACGTCGAAGACTATATATATATATATATATATATATATATATTTTACATAACGTATAAAATAGTACATTAAGGAGTTTAGACGATAAATGATAATTAGAATCATTCCAAAACTCCATTAGTTATAATTATCTTGAAACAGTTTTTACTTTAAAATAAAGAAACGGTCAGCAAAGAATTATATAACATATAGCAGCTAATTATATATAATAATAAGTATATATAATAATTAATTGGAATCTATTTATAAATTTGATATATTTAATATTTAATATTTTTTTTATAATTTAATATTCTCCGATTAAATTAATATTAAAAATAGGTAAATTAATAAAATAAAATAATCGTCTCATTAGATATTATTCAGTAAATTTGATTAAATTTTAATACATTAGAATTAATTTTCATAAAATCGAATACAACGCGAAATAATCGCAGAGAACAATATGTCAACGGATCTCCTGATGTTTCGCTTAAATGCGTTCACCTAATTACACAATATTACTGTCTACATATGCAGAATGTGCGTAATCGCCCGTGACGTTTCAAATTGCGCATATCCGTAATGAAATGCGTTACCTGAATCAAATCTTCCTGCGTGATTTGTTCTTATCAATATTGCACGACAATTGAATTACTTAATGCTTATAGCAATATTTGGCGTCGTAGTTTGTAGTCGTTGTATATTTTTTGTTCCTCATTTTCGCTTCGACTGCGTTATCTATTTTGCTTTAAGCACAAAAAGTGCACAGAGTGTGGGAGTAGAAGTAGGTTGAATAGACTTAAGTAATACTATATATATTGTACACGTCACTGACATTTCAGGGACTATATTACGCGCAGCCGCGCCATGTGGTTGCGATCGTATACATGCGATAAGAAATGCACGTTTATGTCAATGCCGTGAAATAACTAAGCAACTTTTGTACTGTCTTTTGTAATTAGCAATTCAAATTTAAATTCTGCTAGCGGTGCGTAATTTAACGGTGATTTAATGCAGTCGGCTGAAGAATTGACGCACGAGAAAGATCGTAACATGCAAGGGACAGAAAATTAAGTATATTCTTTTAAAAGGTATTGTTTTAAATAATATACTATTATATTATGCTAATATATTATCTACTAATATCTATTTTCAAGAACGAATAAAAAAACATTCTGTTATACATTCTTGCTGTACGATTTTTATTTCATAAATATTGATACTTTTGTAAATAGCATTTAAAATAATTTACGAAATATTTGATCTGCGACTTCTTTTCAAAGAAATGTACACTTCAGGGAATAGTGTCTCTAAAAATATATACTTTTTTTGTCCTATCTTCGCTTGTAAAATCAATAAATCCAGCGCGTTGCGATATACGATATCTCGATACTTTGATAGTAACCGCGTAAATTTTTACTTAACATAAAATTAATCAATTGCGCAACGATTACTATACATATCTTAGGATTAGGATTTTTGACAAAAACGTAAATTATAAATTTGATTGATAATTAAGTATAAGATTATTCAATGACGAATTATTATCAAATCACTCACCTGTATTCGTCCGCCGTGCACCGGTACTCCGAGACCCTTCGTATTGTGTGACATTCTTGAGTTTGATTAGTGTACCGATCGCTCCGGTCTCAGAAGACTGTCTAATTCCGAGTATACAAACAGACGTATATAAATATGTATGTATAGTTGTATATATTTATGTATATACGATTCCTTCTGCTCCGTTCGGCGTCTGGCGTCGGCTTCGGGATGAATGGAAACGCTGGCAAAAACGCGGATCCGCTTCGAAATTCTCAGTCGAGCCCGCTATTAATGGGGGAAGTCCGGCGTTCAATATATTCCCGCGTGTGAAAATGTACGCACGTGTACGTGTTCACACGAATGAATAAAAAAAAAACTGTAGCGCTTTTATTATATATAGACGGTGCGTCTACAAGGTTTGCGACAGCGTTTCGCGGGTGCGTGATAATTCGCAAGGGTTCACCTCTCGGACGAGCCCGGTGTCGCACTGATCTTTCGTCCTCTTTTCACGTCAACTTCCCTCCGTGGGTGCTGCGAGATCGGTATATTGCGTGGAAGTCGCCCCGCGGTGGGAGCAGCCGGTTAACGAAGGGTGGGGACCAAGTTGCTTTGCGAATACAAAGAAGAGGAGAGGGAGGAAACGGCAAGGTAATATCAGAGGAACGTCGGGAATCCCTAAAAGAGCTTAAATCTCTGGAAAAACAAAACACCCGCGACCCACCCCTTCTTTATCGGATTGCGAGGGTGCGATAATTATCGGTTGAGTATTCGAATAAGAATTTGCAATGTAATTTATAAAGGAATTTTTATTCAAATTGAATCCCGAAGTACGACGTGATAGATCGCGATCGGCGAAGAGACTCGCACGAGAATGACGCTGCGCAATACGAAAAGTCGCGGTTTCTCCGGTTCTCCCACTCCCTCGAACAGCATACCCTCTTCGTCCCTTTCGATGTTTGCCCCTCCTCGAGACAAGAACGCTTATAGCAACCTCCTGGCTGCTCGTCCGATCCGATTAGATCGCTTCAAGAGGCTCCCCTCTTCACGAAAACGTATCATCAAACTCCATCATTACATCCTCCATAATCATTCGTTAACAATAACTTCTCATTTTATATTGTATTTTTTTATTCAAAAGTATCAGCTTCGCCATGTTTGTCGTGCCATTTTGGACGACTCCATTTATTTTTATTTTTTTTTTAATAATTCATATTAACATAAATATATATATATACATATATAAAAAATAATTATTAAAAAAATTAGTCTGCTGCTAATAGCATTGTACAATGCGCTTAAATTTTTTTCTCATCAACAAAATTAGTATGGAGCCATCTGTATTACCGATAAAACTAGTTTTTGTTCCTGTCGAATTTCTTCACAGAATAAAAATTCCTTCATCATAATTAAAATATACATGCTAATGTATTTGTCGCTGGTATATTTTGTGTTCAAAAGTGGAAACAAAATAAAAAATTATAGATTTCTTTATCCATTTGTATCTCAATATGATGACCAACGCTGAAGGTAAAATGGATAAAGAAATCTATAATTTTTTATTTTTTCCAGCTGAAATACAACACAAAATATATCAGCGACAAGTACATTAGTGTGAAAAATGAATTTTTTTATTTTGTGAAACCACTACAAAAAAATTCGACAGGAATAAAAACGTCAAAAACGTTAATTTTATCGGTAATACATACTCCAACATCTCCTTAACGTTATTTATAAACAAGTTTATTTAACACACGAAAAAAAAACAAGAAAAAATAAAATAAGAATGATGATCGATAAAAATGGAAATTATTTGGCTACTGGAGCTTTGGCTTACACACAGTGGCGCGCTAATATTCTTGATTGTTTATTTGAAGTCATCAGTTAAAATTAAAAAATGACGTGCGTTTCCAGACTGCACTCGCAGATCTACAATGATGCAGTAAAAAAACAAAAATCTAAGCGATTTTTATAGCGGTAATCTGATATTACGTTTACGATTTCGCTATCTAATATCGCAGGTAACGCGAAACTCGCTTGTTGGCGCTTCGCGTAGTTTTGCGTCGTATTAAACCTCTCGATTGCATTTAAATTATAATCTCAAGCATTATATTTTTTTTTCTTGTGTTATACATCGAAATAAATTAGTTTTTTGTATGTACTTTATAAATAATAGATTTTAGGAAAATATGAACAAAGACATCTTTCTTTATCTTTTTAATGAGATAGTTCTATATATGTGTGACATATTTTCTGTATTATAAGATGTATTTTATGTTAGTTGATTGAAATTTTTACGACTGTTAACCTGTAGAAACATGTTTTTTTATTATGCTGAAGGAATATATATGAGTCCTTGGGAGGATCCATAAAAATTTTATGTTATTAGTTTTCATGCTGAAGTAACATATGAGTTTTTGAGAGGATAAATTAAAGTATTATATTATTAATTTTATTTTTTTATTTTTCAAATTTAATTATATACATATTATTAGTCTATAATTATATAAGATAGTTTAAAAAACACAAATGAAATTTTAAAGGTAAAATTTATTGTTTCTAAATCTTGATATAAATACCCCAAAAAAATGTTTTTCGGAAAACATAATTTTTTAAAGTATTTCCAATATCACCAGGATTCATATATTTATAGATTAATTTAGGAAGAAAATACATTTCATAGATCTATTCTTAATCGAATGTAACATACATAATGTAACAAGAATAATTAATTTTTTTATATTATATATATGTATGAAAGTTCAAGTTTCAAGATAGAATATTTTTTTATAATAACTTATACAACAAAATCCTATCACAAATTACAGATCGTTTAAAGCGCATTTAAGCAAGCGTCTTAAGAAACAATATTCGATCGATAACAATCGATTTCTTGATAAATTTGATCTGAAATAACATGAGTTCTGTCTATCGATCGAAGCGCGTTCAGCATTGTAATCATGATGAGTAATGAAATAATTTTTTCAATAATGACGACTGTAATACATGTATAAAAAAATCTTGTACAATACAATAAAAATTGCGCTTGATGCAATTTTGATTCTCATTGATTCTCAGTATTCTATACGCTAACATTTCATAGAGTGGTAATTTTCTAAAAATAAAATAATTCAAGTCGTTTTTCAAACTTTTTAAATAAAATACTACTTTTTAAATAAAATTGCACAAAAGTTATTAGGTGTTGGAATTAATTCGTAGCGTTTTACAAGTGATGGGAAGTACTTTCATTAATGTATTTTTTAATGCTCATGTGAAATAAATAACATTCTTTCATTAAAAAACGCTACGAATTAATTCCAACACCTAATAGTTAAATAAAAGTATGTTGCATTTCTATAAATAGTTTCAAAATTAATTGTTAGCAAATTTATATAATTTCCAGCAGGAAGCAATAAATAATTTTTTTTACACAAAACCAATTACATTCATATACACATACAATTTAAAATCGGTCGCATTAGGGAATCGGTATGCCTGATGCTATTGCATTTTACAAACATCATAACTGGAATACGAAAGCTCGAGAAGTTTCACAATGAATTTTTATTCGGGTGATCTAACAATAATATCATTTTATTTATAATAGCGATAATAAAATAGAAATAACATTTTGTTTGGTTAAACAATGACACAAATAATAATAATTACAATATGAAACGTCTCCACACTCTTAATCCTAATAAGAAAAATATTGGAAGGAAATTAGCTTGTTGTTTGTCAATAGATTCGAACAAGATTATTAACTATTCAGATCATGAGAACTTTAATTTTGTCTTTTAAATATTAATTAAAAAATCTTTTTATATATATAATTTAAAACGTACATACACAGGAAACAATATAATTTTTTTTTTTATTTATAATTAGGAAATTTTAGAATTTAAAAGAAATTTTTATTTTGATTCTCTTCAAGTGCATCCTTTTCCTGGAAGCAAATGATTTATATATAAATACTTAGAATACATTTAAAAATGTTCTTTCAGATTGAGAAATATATGAGTATTTAACAATGAATAGAAGCACATCCTCTATATAATACCTTCCGTTGCAGCAAAACGATTGACCGTCAGGACAAAGATAGAACGATTATTTGTTCGATCTTCCGCGCTTAGATCAATAGAATGATGTTAGAAAAAACTGCTATAGAAATGCGAATAGAATAGAACTGAATCTTGCCCTATAGAATTTTTATTCGCCAGACTTCCCGAACAACTTTAATATAAACTGTTCGATAGATCATACGATTCAACTTTTATACCAGATTATTCAAAAGAATTCATACATCGACATCGATATGTGTTCTGTGCATCGAGCTTGTTATATTCAACATCGTAAATCATAGTCCTTGCCGATAGATAAGAATGCTTGTCATACGGTGTAACACATAACGTAGAACTATTCATAAATCATGTGCCAACACGTGCGATAATATTGGCAAATGATCTCGGTCTTCCACCTTTTCCTCAATCGTGCCAAGTACAAACAGGCATGCTCGTTCAAAGAATGGCATTATGCCTCGCCATATGTGTGTTTACCTTGAAAATGTCAGAATATATGGTATGCCAATGAATGTAATCTTGTACTCTGATATTCCTTTTTTAAAATCAAATGGATCCATGGAACTCAAACTTAAAAAATTTCGCATTGATAAATTTTTCTACATTGAAAAAAAATTCATGAAATTTGAATAAATATTTGTTTAGATAGTATCAATCGGACTATTTACTTACAGTAAATAAATATTTATTCAATTCAAAAAAATTACACTTAAGTATTATTTTTTTTATCGAATAATTATTTTCTGTAAGCGAATGATCCCATTGGCATTATCTAAACAAATATTTATTCAAATTTTGTAAATTCTCTTTTCAGTGTAGCATAAGCAGAAATTATTAGGAATACACTTATTTCAGCTCACTGTGAAGTTTAAACAGAAATAAGCGCAGGGTTTAAGCGCAAGGGCACTTCAAGTGAGACATTCAGCTGTAAATATCAGAATTTATCAATTAATTTTATTATCAAATTAGTTTTATTATTTACTTTTATACATTTACATTTTAAGAAGAAAAAAATATTAGGTGTTGGAATTAATTCGTAGCGTTTTACAAGTGATGGGAAGTATTTTCATTAATGTATTTTTTAATGCTCATGTGAAATAAATAACATTCTTTCATTAAAAACGCTACGAATTAATTCCAACACCTAATATTTTTTTCTTCTTAAAATGTAAATGTATAAAAGTAAATAATAAAACTAATTTGATAATAAAATTAATTGATAAATTCTGATATTTACAGCTGAATGTCTCACTTGAAGTGCCCTTGCGCTTAAACCCTGCGCTTATTTCTGTTTAAACTTCACAGTGAGCTGAAATAAGTGTAGCTCGTGCACTTACGTTAAATGTCGGACTGTAACGCGTAAAATCTCGTACTTTGCAGCTAGATTGATATCATCCGAGTGTATCAGATCTGTGTACATATTTGCACGGAAGATTTGTGTTATAATGATTGGGTATTCTTAACTCAACTTAGCGAGAGAAAAGAATTATGTTGAAATTGTGTAATTCTCTCAAAAGAACAACTGATGCTGTCGCCACTAATGCTCAAGTATACAAATGCGCAGGTGTACACACGTATGTGATGAAAACCATCTAATCCGAACAGCAAGGTCCTTTAAGTCTTCTTCTTACCGAGAAATGAGCAGACTCCCCACGGGAGTCGTCTCAACCCAGGAATACAATCTGTATCAAAAATATCCAACGTTCTAGTGTCTTAAGACTATTATAGACTTTCCAGATCTCGAGAAAGATTTTTGCGATGTGGTTTGCATTTTTATGCATTAGAATACTCAAAGATCGATTATTACGTCACATTTCTTTCTGTTGTCATAATTATTGCTATTTTTTGTCAGGCATCAGATAGACATATCCACTGTGAAACAGATTTTGCACAGTCTCTGCTATAAATTTTATCGGTAGAATGCTAGTGAAAATATAACAGAATATGACGGCGGATGGAATGTAGAAAATGCGAGGAAAAGTCAGTCATTTCATAGCTATATTTAAATAATATATTCAATTTAAATATGTAGTTATGAAATGATAGACTTCGCTCGATTGAAAGGAACAGATAATGTATAATAAAGCAAATTTCTCATATTGAGAATTATACAGATTTTTTTTTAAATAATTACGTAACGTGCATGTAATAATATTTATTTATTTGGCTATAAGTATGAATTTTTGGACAAATGAAAAGTAAATAAAAAAATGAAAAAGATTTTCGGAAGGATTTTGTCAAATTTAGTTTTACACTTTTTAGCATACACGATATATCTATAGCTATTTGAAAAATTTTTTTAGTGAAGTTAAAAAATAAAAAAAATAATAGGTTATAAACATTTTACTTGGAATTGTTTGTATTGGTTTCTTATGCAGTATACATTTATTCATTTGGTTTTACATTACCGCCGATAAGAAATCACCGTACACTGCAATGACGCGGCGGAAAGCGACGAGATTAGCGACGGCGCTATTGGAGAACAAGAATGTAAAATGAGCTTTATCTTGCCCTCCCATGGAGATCCAGTACATAAGGTAAAATAAGTAAGCTGAGTAGTGTCGATAAGTATCGTTGTAATTTTCCATCATAAATTCGTAGTAAATCCTTGTCCTTAATTTCCCGTAATATTCAACATCGGTTCATTGCCTTCGTTTTTTTTCTCTCTCGGACGTTTTGCTAATAACACACACGTGATTCATGTTCCTACACATCATATATAACGTTAATAATATGTAACGTTTAATAATGTTGTCTCGACGCAATTTTAAACATGCAAGAGATCGAATGTCGCCCATGTGACGAAGAGTTAGGAAGAACGTTTTTGTTCATCGTATTTAAAATAATGATAATTTTTATGACCAAGCGGATACTTGGTCATGAGAAGATAAGGCATATTTTTCATATAATTGTTTTACTGCTGATAAGATTATTTTTATTGCAACAAATTCTTAAAATTCTTACAATTTTGTGATAAAAGTGTTTATGTTAGAACTATTCTTTTTGATCGCCAAGAATGCAGATTTCAAACTCCGATTAATTTATTCGATTAATTATGATTAATTCGATTTATTATAATTAACATAAAGCAATATATGTACTATTTTAATAGAAATAGAACAGTTAATTTTTTTATTATTTAATATAAGAAATGAAAGATTAAATTAGGATCACGAATAATATAATTAGAAATTTTATTTCACAAACAATTTTATTAGATGAATTAATAGCTGATTAAGTTAATTCGAATTTGGCTGAAGTTGCCTTATAAATTGCAATTCCGAACAATTCCATTTCATTATTACCAAGAAATATAAGGAATGTTGTCATGACGAAAGGTTCATTTATAGAATTATTTTTAGATCTTAACTTTAATAAATGACGATATTGAAAGATGTTTTATTTATTATATTAGATCTCACTGTTTACAAGATCGAAAAGTTATTATCACTTACAGATTCTGTATAAATATCACCTGATAGACATACACATATGCGTGATCACATTTCACAGATTTTGCAATCACGTGCAAAAATTGCCGCGTCACATGATTATCATAAATTGCTTGCATAATAAAGAAAATTACAATCACTATACCGTATGAAGTATTTTAAATACTTTTGTCTTGTCATTTTTATATCTTTTATATCTCTTCATTTGTTAATATTCTCCCATTTCTTTGTCTATATTATTTTCTTTAATTATTTTTTTTATAAATAACACAAAAAAGATGCAATAATATTAAATAATTCGGAACACGATAAAGTATCAATACATAATACTTATTCTAATACAAAATTAATTCGACAATATTTAATGTTAATATTCATATACACGTAGATTACTTTTATTTTGATACTCATGCCGCCTGTATTTACTTCAATGCAAATTGACTGCTTTAGTCACCAAAAAAGCATGCCGATTGTCTAGACTGACAAAATTGTCTAACTACAATGGAGATAAAAATAATTACAGCAACAAAGTTATTAAATATTTATTATTAAAAGTTATTTTTTTAACTATTAATACATATCAAATTGTATTCCTTTTATTAATTTAATAATTGTATACGTTTATATGCATGAAATAATTAATTCCTGAATTGTTGAATTCTTTCACATAAATTCCACGAGACTTCTCATCTTCTTTGCTATCTCGCGCGACCGCGCTAGGATTAATGTCACATGGCACTTGTAGTTCGTTCGCAACATTCACAATCTGGTTTTTAGACGCTGCGGCTACGAAACGTTTCCACAGTCTTTTACAGAGCTACCTACAAGACGGCGACCGACTGTGTATTTCGAATGGAAATTTCCAATGGAAGTTGGCATGCCGCGCACACGGCGCGACCGTACAGTCAACCATAAAAGCGAATGCTTTCCCATTCCCCTCATCTATTTAAAACATGCATGGCGCTTTCTCTATTGAGTTCACGACTAAGTTACATCTATGCTAAAAATTTCCTTAAAAAGAGATTAGTAGATGTTTCTACTATTGTTTTTTTTTTCTTACGTTTTTCAACGTTTTGCTATACTAATTTGTATTGTTACCAACTCAAGGATAACGATTTAATCATCTCATCGTAAAATTTCGTACGAAAAAAATAACATATTTGAATTCGTCATATTAAACAGTTTCAAATATCTACTCCTTTTTAACAATATCAGTAATACGTCCTCCGAAAATGTAATTTTTAATTATCATATTTTTACTTTAAAAATAATCTTGGATAAAAAGATAAACTTTTAAATTATAATTAATTTATGATATATATGTCAGAATGTATAATTTGTAATACTGTAAATTTATAAATAATTGGAATATTCATCATGACATTGTAAATTATTCCAAATGATATATATATATATATATATTTGGAATAATTTAATAATATATATATTTTCCTATAATTTATTGAAGTATGTATTTATAAATAATGAATGAAATGACGTTATCGGTTTTTTATATAGACTTGAATAGAAACCTATATATATGTATATACAATGTATGTATATATATCGCATTACACATTGCTATTTATAAACATGAAAGTATTATTATCAACTAATCTGAAGTAATTTTCAATTTGACAAAAAATACGGTTTAAAAAAAAATGTAATGCTTTTCTTTATTCGAGAGTTGATAACAGTCTATTTTTGAAATTATGATTTAACATCAATTATATATTTTTCGACATTTTTGAAAAATGTATATTTTACCGATAATAGATTACATGCAAACTTCGTCACGAGGTACCAAATAATAAAAGTAGATGTAGAGAGCAGCACTAAAAATAATTATTTTTCAATAATTCCTTTAATCAGAATTTAAATGCTTCATTAAATCAAGATTAAACGGAAATAAACACCTTCTTTCTCACACAATATATTGAACAAATATTGTGTATAAAAAAAGAAAAATGAAAACGAAATTCCTTTAAAAATGAACAGAGAAGACGATATACGATTCTTTTTTCTTTACTCCACAATTTGCATGCTCGACTGATAACTTCATATAAAACAGCCTTTACAGTGCACCAATGTGAACTAATGCGGAGTATCTATATAATGTAAGCTGTTTATTTGTATGTAAGCTATTATAGTTGTGTGTGTGTGTGTGTGTGTGTGTGTGTGTGTGTGAGACGAATAAGACGAATTCTCTCACTGTCTTTCAGTGGAGTACAGGAACATGACAGTGCCGTCGCGTGACAGAAACTTCGGTGGTAGTATGTCCCGACTGCTTGGACCGTGTTGAATTATTTTCGGGAGTGTATTATTCTTGGCGAGTGCACCATTGAGATTCGCGTGAAGAAGTGCGGCGTGTCTCTTATGAGCGACGTAACGAACGCATACGACGCGAATCATGGCGAAGGATGAAGGGGACGATGTGCTGCCGGACAAGGACGCAGCGAAGGGATTTTATGCTAAGTACGAGCCCAAAGAAATTCTAGGAAGGTGAGTTACTCCACGTTTCAATACTGGATAACACGTTTTTTAATACTATCATTATTGTTGACTCGCTCCTATATTAACAATTAATGCTGTACTCCTATTCACATTTTATGTATTTTTACGTTGCTCCAACGATCGTGGTAAATATTTGATAGAGTAAATACGACGGATTATCCTCCAAGTCGATGATAACATTACATAATTAAAATAAATTTCGACACAGTTTCGACAAGTTTTGGCGTAGATCGCAAATATTGACATTCGATATCAATGTTGATTTCAATAGAGTGAGATTAATTTGAACGTGTATTTCAGAGGAATATCTTCCACTGTGAGACGATGCATAGAGAAAGAAACAGGAATGGAGTATGCAGCTAAAATTATAGACATCAGTAATGAGACTAATGAGGATATGCATACTATGAAGGATGCTACGCTGCAGGAAGTGCAAATACTTCGTAGAGTAGCTGGACATCCATATATCAGTAAGTTTCCTATTTTACTCTTTTTTAGAAATGGCAACAATCATAAGAGAGACCTATAAGTATTTATTTTAAAATAAATAACTGTATATATAAATATATAGAATAATTATATTATTATTTCTTTCTTTTTTTTTATTTTCAGTTGAATTGCATGATGTTTTTGAATCTAGTACATTTATATTCTTAATTTTTGAATTGTGCAAGAATGGAGAATTATTTGATTATCTCACGTCGGTCGTGACACTTTCTGAAAAGAAAACGCGTTATATCATGAGACAAGTATTCGAAGGAATCCAGCATGTACATAATCAAGGAATAGTACATAGAGATTTAAAACCTGAGAATATACTACTTGATGATAATTTGAACGTGAAGATAACTGACTTCGGATTTGCCAAAATATTGAAACATGGAGACAAATTAGAAGGTCTGTGTCATTTTTTTATATGTACTCCAAATCTAGAGAATTAAATATTTGATATATTTTACAGACCTTTGTGGTACACCTGGCTACTTAGCACCAGAAGTATTAAAGTGTAATATGTTTGAGAATACAGACGGTTATGGATATGAAGTCGATATGTAAGATTTTCTTCAGAGTTAAAAAAGTACATGCCTATATACATATATAAATGATACACAGGCTTTGTCATGAACATTATCAACACATAGTATATGATTAAAAGATATAATTCCATGTGCGCATGTATACATGCATGTATGCATGAATTAATTTTTAACTCTCCGAGTGAAGACGTTAGGGTCCAAAACAGAATTGTTTCGAGATGTTTCTGCTCGTAATTGTAAAACCAAAAAGTCGATTGTGTATCCTGAGAAACGAGGTAAAAGAAATTTCTAAATTTTTATTGTGTTTTCTAGGGAAAACAGAATAATTCCGCTGAGAATCCATTTCGATTCGTTCCACGATCAAGTATCAAAATACACAAGCGACCTCCTACCTGTCTTTACGAGTTTTTACTTCTTCCTAAATTTCTAAAAGAAAGTATGTAGATATCATAATAGAAGGGACTCGAGGTCCCACTGGTCCGAGAATCATTTCGAAAGACTATAAGACGTTGAACGTCGAGCAGATAAAATATCAGAATCACGTGTAACCTTTTCCCATAAGAAACAATGTTAATTATTTAAGAAAAATTTTGCAAAAACAAATGTTTCCTTTTCATTGTCTCTTTTATTCATTTTTATTCAAAATTTATTTTTCAAAAATTCAATAAATAACATTTATTAAAATATATCATTGATTTATATATATACACATACAATATGGATAGCTGTTTCATAATTTTTTTTCAAATTTTTCGACCTTTGAGAAAATAGCGTCGGACATGATAGAAACTACTAAAAAGATATCGAAAAACGTATTCACTCGTAGGGTTAAATATATTAGTTAGTTTCTTGCGAAATATAAGATTTCATTATATTTTCCATTTTTGTTCATGATGTAATAGATGGGCTTGTGGCGTGATTATGTTTACACTATTAGTTGGCTGTCCTCCATTTTGGCATCGAAAACAAATGGTTATGCTTAGGAATATAATGGAGGGAAAATATTCATTCACTTCTCCCGAATGGGCTGACATAACAGGTAAAAATGATTGATAAAAATTATATTTTAAAGAAATGATAGAAAAAATGATAAAAAAAAATAAAATATCAATATATGTTTTATAATATTATTTCTAGAAGCTCCAAAAGATTTAATAAGGAAGTTGCTAGTTGTTGATCCCAAAAGAAGAATTTCTATAAAGGATGCGTTAGAACATTCATTCTTTCACACTGTCGTAAGTATATATATACTTATATATAATAATATTGAACTACTGAAAGAAAATATTATTTATAACTTCCAAATTAAAATGAAAAAAAAAATATATACAAAAGACCTTTCTAAATAACTAATACATACTTTATGCACTATATTCGACTGCAAAAAATGATATTTTGCCAATTAATTTCGCTTTATTTGTTTCTGCTCACTTCAATTCACATTTCAAAATATATTTACACTTATTTAGATACAAGATATCCCTAGTTCTCAGGAAAAACGTTTCTTTTTTCCTAGAACATCCTGTACATTACAAATATTTTTATATCTAATTGTAAAAATTATAACACGCACAGCAAGAAGCAAAAAAATGCACATGCATAAGATTTAATATTTTATTGTCGTATATGAGCAAATATGAGGTTTATGAACAATTACACGTTGCACACAAAATTATTAATTTTCTATCTGCTTTATTATTTATTGTTTTTTATTGTTTTTATTTTTGATTAATAAATAAAAAATATCTTGTAATAGATAAAATTTTTAATAGATTTTAAAGATATAATTATAAAGTATAAGTTATTGACCTTACAGCTGTGGGATCAAGACATCGCTCCTCTAAAACGTTCTCTGTCATCTAACTCGCGACGTCTGAGTAGGATATCTCAATTAGCTTTGGTAATTAATTTACTTTTCTTTTTATTTTGTCTGATAGCAACGTTTATTGATATTACTATTCATTGTAAAATTTACTTTGATTATTTTTATTATTTTTACGTAATAAAAAATTAACATTTATTTTATTTTAGTTGGCATTCTTTGATTATGTTAAAATTATAAATAAGATTGGCAGCAGCATTATAATAATGTTTGAAAATCAATTGACAATGGCAAACTAAGTTACTTATATGTATATCTAATTAATTAAGCTTGTGCGTGTGCTTGTATTCACATGTATACATATACATTGAATATATTTATTGCATTCTCATACAAGAATTTATTAATACTTAACATTGAAAACACATGTGTTTGCATATACGAATATATGTATTTTGATATTAACACTTTTTCTCTAATGTTGAACGTTCTATTCAATTACGTTGTATTTAACAAAAAAAAACTTTATTTTTCATATATTTAAATAATAATGATAATATTCTTTTCTGTACTTTTCTTGTCCTTATATATCAGAATAGAAATATTAATTTAGAAAGCTTATAATCGTTTGCTGAATAGTTGGTGCATTTTTATTAAGTATTTCTTTATTTGTTGTACAGGAGTTGAAGGCGAAATCATTCAATGCAAGGAAGAGATTTCAATTGGCAATTATTTGTGTGAGAGCTGTTATTCGTATTAAACGACTTCATATCACGCCTGAATTTCGACACACGTAGCTTGTACCGACCCATATAGAATAAAAATTCTGCGAAAGGTAAATTCTTCCACGATGAAAGTCTATTACAAATTAATTAAATGAGCGTAATAAATAATAATTATGAAAAAAAATATTGGTATTAGAGTATTGGGTTCGATAGAGTTTTGGTTTTTTTGTGAGTTTCATATAAAAAATTCCAAATTCTTTTGATATTATTCTAAGATTGAGTAGATATAATTATGAAATTAATGAAATATGAACAATATGTGTTTGCTAAGAATATTTTTGATAATCGTTTTCAGGTAATTGATGGCTGTGCGTTTCGTGTCTATGGACACTGGGTAAAGAAGGGAGAAGGCCAGAATCGTGCGGCACTTTTTGAAAATACACCAAAGACAGAATTGAAGCATCTGTATGTTAGTAATTTAAGTAGATAACTATTATTGTTTTAGTTAAATTTACTGATCCCGGAATCTCGATGGTCCTAACGAAATATATCTCATAAAGACAAATATAACTGTCTTAATTTTGCAGAATGTAAAATATTCACGATAGAAATTTATTTTTGAAATTGAAGGTATAGTGGCTAAATAGTACTTGGGGACTTTTTACTTGAGTAGACTTTTACTAAAATTTGTTTCTGTATAAAGTTGTCTGCCATAATTGATTTTGATATAATCAATTGCTATATTGATTTAAAATAGAATAGAAAAATTTATGTAAACTATTTAAATCTGAATTCAGAGAATGTAGAATATTTTCAGATAATATTTTTAAATTGCACGTTTTACAATGTAACAATATACATACGTTAGTATACCATATGAAAATGTGAGAGTAATTATTTTGTGAAAAATTATTTAAAAATCTTTGTTATCCATCAAAGCAAAACAATATACATATGTGATTAAAAAGATGTATTTCTATAAATAGCTGTACTTTGTGACATACTTATTATATAATACAGAATGAATATGTATAATATTATCATGTTTTATTTTTGTAGAATGTAAAAATATTCCATATTAATGCTATATTTATAAAGATACGTTTTCAAAATTTCATTTCTAAAGGAAATTCTATTAGAAAATATGATACTTCATGTAAGATCTAGTCACAATTTTTGTACAAATAAACTTGTCTTAAACATATATTGTAAAAGTTAATATATATTTCTGTAAGAAATTAGTATACGAGTCAAACAAAATTTGATAGAGCAAGCAGATATGGAGTTCTTAAGTATTTAATAGTACAAGTATTTAATTTCATGTTAAAACAAATCAATTTAATTCAGTTATCTTCAGATTTATTTTACAAGTACGTGTATTTCAAGCATTATAATCATCATATCACTTTTATATCATTCATATCCCTTGTAAAGGTCTATTCTTCGTAATTATAAGTCTTTTTCCATACTCCAAGACTGAACTTTTTTCTCTCACTGTTCATCTTTTGTCTTTTTCTTTCCAATGTGAAAAGAAAGAGAAGAGAGATGAGAAAAGAACAGACCTTATCCAGACAGTACAGAATATTTATAATAAATATTTATTAATATTCATTTTTTGAAATGTTATATAGATATTTCATACATATTTTATATAAAGCTTTATTCGAACTATTAAAATATAGACTAAATATTTATGATATAAATAAATATTTCTAATAAGTATTTTTTATTTAGATTATTAGGTGTTGGAATTAATTCGTAGCGTTTTACAAGTGATGGGAAGTACTTTCATTAATGTATTTTTTAATGCTCATGTGAAATAAATAACATTCTTTCATTAAAAAACGCTACGAATTAATTCCAACACCTAATATAATGTCTCATTGAATATTTTCATAACATATACTATAACATTTACAATAAATATTTCCTAATATATAATAAATGTTTATAATCTGTGCAACCTAAGACTACAAAAATATTTACAAAATATTTATAAATTGTGCTGTCTGGGAATATCATTCTATGTATTTAATACGAAATAGATATATAACTAGACGTCAGAGAAAAAGACAAAAGGAGATAAAAATTTAAAAAATTCGGTCACAATTAAATTAATATTTTATATACATATTTGCGCTTTTTTGAATCGTCGATTCTTTTTCAAATTAAGGACAAAGTAAGGACTACTAGTTAAAAGTGCCCGTTGGTAAAAAAAAAAAAGAAACCGAGGAGAAGAATTTACGTGATCATGTCTGTAGCAGCTGTAGCCGCTAGCAGTCTGTAGCAGCCGCAGTTGGCGGGTTGGCCGCGGTCACCTCGCAGCGGTCACAGCCTCTCCGCGACCACTCACGACCTCGTGGGCGCATGGCGCGCGCGCGCACTGGCGAAAGTAAACAATAGAGCGTAGCTCCGGCAGACGTGAGACGTGAGACGTGAGACAGATAAAAGTGGCAACAGCGCGCGCATTCGCGCTCGCGCGGCGTCGATCCATGTGACAGAGAAGGAACGTAACAAAAGGTGGCGGAGGGTGACGCCGCTGCCGCCGCGATCGGTCGGAGCGCGAGTGTTTGCCCGGGCGAGCCGGGTGTCGGGTGTGCTCCGCGTGTCGTTCTTTTGCGTTTCGCGTTTCGCGTACGTGCCTGAATGCTCGTATGCCTCCGTCGTCGCGCAACGTGCAGGGCAGGAAATACCTTCCGCACAGCGTGGCGCGTCGCGTCGCGTTCACGGCGAAATAAACGCGCGACGTTAAGGAATTGATAAACGGAGTGCGTGGGTTACAACGAGCGCGATCGCCGCGACGACGACGACGGCGACGGCGGTGGCGGCGGTGGCGGTGGCGGTGGCGACGACAACGACGGCGGTGGTGGCGGTGGCGGCGGCGAGGACGACCGGAGACGACGATGACCGATCGACAGAGCGAGTGAACGACATCGGCGAAGCAGGCGCTCCGCGATACTTGTCTCACAATCTCACACGCCCAGCGGGACTGCTGCGTCACATGGGCCACGTTCATTCGTCGATAGAGCCGGGTGACGTCACGAGCTGCGCGACGATTGGCTCGCGCCACGGTGCCTAGACACGTGAATCGTGGCCGAGCAAGCATGGCAGTTTGATGCGCAGTGGTTTTCAGCACTTGTAAAATGCCACCGCCACGCGCCAGATCGATCAGGTTATAACTCGCGTTTCGCCGCGCGCTCCGAAACAGTCGGCTCGTCGCGCGGTCGCACTTGCGGTCGCGGGCATTTCTCTCGCGTCGATTCGCCGCCTCGTCGTCGACCGCCTTGCAAAATTCATTTTCGTACGATTCGATTCGAGAGACCACGCGCGCTGACAGGGATCAGCGATCGTTTTCGGCACGGAAGTGCGTTAAAGGGAACTAGAGTACAGCTCTGTTGTGTTGTACCTGGGCAGCGTGTGCGTGTCCGGAACGTGCTCAAAATACAACGTGTTTCAACCTGTAAGTTTGGCCGAGATACAACCCTTTCTATCTCTATTTATCTCCGACTCTATTCCTTTCTCTCTTGCTCGAACCACCACGCCCGTTTGAGAGAAAGAGAGATAGGGACGGGGCGGAACGAAGCGGGGCATGCGAGAGAGAGAGAGAGAGAGCGAGAGAGAGAGAATGAGTGAGCGAGCGAGCGAGAGAGAGAGAGAGAGAGACAGAGCGCGAGCGCGGGTGAGTCTCGGCGAATTATTATATCCGTTACTAGCACCTATTTAATTAACATGTGTATAGAGATGGTTGCGTGGCGTGTTTTCCGTGCCATAATAGAACTAGCCAATGGCGTGACGTCCAGCCAGCGACGTCATAGGCTGCGAGCGTCGCGATTGGCCGGAGTTGCGTGCATCGTCGACCGTTCTAACGTGCGTGTTGCTTTGTCAATTTTTGGACCTCGCCGCAGCACGTTCCTTCGAATTTTTACGAGGACATGCGCTGTTTAAGCTCCGCACGATCTCGTTCGTCGCTGTCGCCGCTACTGACGACGACGACGACGACGATGACGACGATGACGACGATGACGACAGCACCTCCGCTGCCGCTGGCTAATCGTCCGCTTCGCTCCGCACTACTCCGCTCTGCTCCGTTCCGTTCCGCGCGTCCGCTCCCTCCACTATTTTCACATGCCAACCCCGCGCGTCTCCCGCGGAGAATGCGAGCACGATCGCGCGTCGCCGACGTCGTCCGCTTTCGCGACTCCAACCGAAGTAACCTGGCTTTCAGATGTACATTCTTTCACTCTCCTTACTCGATTTACATGTGCTTTTTGGAAATTATTGCAATCTCTTCGGCACTTTAATCAACAAACCGTCTCTTCGATATTTGCCACGGTGCCACGGTTATTATTCGCGAGAGGCACATTTCCTTTTTCTCTTTTTCGTATTTTTTTTTTCATGCCAAGGATTACTTGATTTTTTCTTCCGCCGACAATACGACGCGTGCACACACCTCGTGACCGTTTTCGCGCACGCAAACGCCACGTAACGAGACGCCACTGTCGGTCTTCCCTTTCTTTTTTCACCACACACGTTTGAGCAGCGGGGGAACAAGACGATCCGCGAGAGCGCCGCTATGTGTTTGCACGATCCCACGAATTGTCGATTTCCGATGAGCTGCGTTATCGAGCTCGAGATATCGTACGCGTTATGCTGGAAATGTGCCTCGCTTTCAATTACAAAATCAAGTCACGTATGAATTTAATTTTTGTGAAATAGAAGGAAATGGAATAAAGTAACGTTTACGTCTAGTCTTCGGGATGAGGAAACAGGTTTACGCCGAGGCTATGCTATCGTTTATTGAAAATTGGTATACGATGCGCTTGATAAGTGATTTTCCAAGTGTCCGATCTACGTCGTTTTTTTTTTTATTTTTTTATTAAGCAGTCCGCTCGGTTCCAGCGAACTTGGAATACGTGTAGATACGTGCTGTCGTTCTGCGCTGCAGAAAAAAAGAGCCGCGACGCGCCTGCGTGGCGCGCTCCGTCTGATGCGCTGTTGCAAGAGCGACGTGAGTGGGTGGCCGGGGTGGGGGATGGAATGGAAAGGCTTCCCGCGCACGGCTGCGTTACGTCACGCGTGTACGTTACGTGACGTACGTCGTGGGCACACCGGTCGCGGTCGTGTCCGCGACGTCCACGACACCCTCCTTTAGATAAGTCCGATAACGGCATCCAGCACAGAATTCTCTAGCGAGAATTCTCGTAACCACTCTAAACTGAAAAACAAAATAAATCGAGAGATAAATCGAGATTAAATCGAAATAAATCGAGAATTCCCTTTATTTCCCTCATTAATTGCGATAGAGATGACTGCTACGTGACGGGTAATCTCTCTTTTTCTCTTACGTCCTCGCTCCGAAAAGTTATCACGTCTTCGATTCATGACTTAACAGTCATATTTAATAAGAACAACATTTTAACGTGTGTCGTTGTAAAAAAATGATTACTCTTATCGATATCTTAACGTATAATTAACGTATAATTAACGACTCGCTTTGTTCCACTCGCAGCTTGTCGTACGCGGTGGTCAGCAGCGGCAACAACGAAGAAAGAGGGGCGAGGACAGGAGGTCGAGAATCGGGACTGTCGTGGCTGCGGCTGCGGCTGCGGCGTCGGCGTCGGCGTCGGTGCCTGTGGCTGCCGCGACGCCGGCGGTTCGATGCGCCGGAGTCATCAGAACGATCACACAACGGGTGTTGACGAATACAGAGACTCGGTGGAACAACCGCAGCAACGCCGCCATCATCACCAGCGCGTTCTCCTTCCCTCTACGTCCATAGGGCAGCAGCAAACCGGCCGCAGAATGAGTCTGGAAACGTTACTGCAAGCGGCCTACTATGTCGAACAGGAAGAGAAGAAGCGGGAGCGCCTGGCGAGCACCTCGTCCTCCTCCTCTTCTTGCGATCAGCACTCGTTTGCGCCTGCGCCGACCCACTCCAATCATACTTATGCCTCCAGCGAGCCACGTGGTGAGTACCACGCGCTGCTTGAGCTGCTTCACCCGCGACCTTTTGCTTTGCGCTTTTATACGTTCAGCGTTATTACCATCACAGATGCAATGGCATTACGTTCAATTACTGTCGTAAAAGTGATTTTGTTTACTTAGCTGCTTTACATTATTCATTGCCATGTGTCGTTGACGTATGAATGACACTTTTGTAAAAAAACATTTTCTCATACAGGTAGACTTTTTCTTTTTCATAACTTAATTTCTTACGCTAGCATTTTAGATTGAAACATTACTGTAAGCTGCATTTGCTATATCAGCAAAGTTAAAAGTTACAATTTTTTCTTTTTTTGTTCGAGTATCAATTCCATTTTTAGAAATAAAGAGTATCTTATATTAATGCGAACGTACGTAGCTGTCAATATGTAAATATCATGTGTAAATATCAAATCTGTGCGCGCGAATAGGCACTGTCTCTTTGAATTGCGTTGTGCTTTTTTTTTGCAGACGTAGATAACGACGAATGAGTGCCGTACGCGTTTTTTGCTGCGCCACTGCATTATCAAACGCGACAATTGCTTACACATGTATTTTTATGTACGTAACAGTAGTCTCGTGGCTGTAGTGAGTAATTTGCCGATAACAATTACTTCCCCTTCTCGAAACGTAAAAATCTCGATTGAATCATTATGCGACGAGATTTAACGTGGTAAAATGAACGAATGTGCAAAATGCACATTTGTTGTGTCTGTAAGGTATTATCTTTATCTTTCTCCGATGATAAAACGGAGAAGCTTTAAGAGTAATATAAACGAAATGCACTCGAGTGATGTTGTCCGATTAAAGTTATATTTGCGCTAAGCATACACGCAGCCCTTTATCAAATCTATGAATAAGAGTCGCAATGTGGAAGATAACATTCTGTCCTTGCTTCTCTTTGATTAGATTAGATATAGAGAAATCGACGAAATCGATACAAGGAATTGTATAATCACAAAACTGCAATCTCTTTCGATAGACGTATATCTATATAATAATCTTTTTTTCAATGATAAAATTTTGACTTTCCGCAATTATAACGGATACATAAATATGAGTCATCTTTTTAAAACGATAAACTTTTCGCGATACAAACAATTTTCGGTGAAAGATATTTTTGCTCCAAATTCAGTTCACAATATACATAATTTTATTGCGAGATGTTTGGCGAGATATTGATGTAGGCAGCCCTATTAAAGGAAATAATAGGCAATAACATCGCCACTTTCTTTTTCTTTCTCTCTATGTTCTCACGCATATAAATCTGCTGTTTATAAAACAATAAGTATGCGTTGACAATCACGTCTGTTTTGAGTGAGAAACACTGGCATACGCAGTTGCGTTTGATGACCACGCGTTCACCGTCTCCAAATTAGGTATGATTTACCTCATGGCAGTGTTTCTCAACCGTGACGAACATGAAGAGAAAGTAACGAGAAGACGAACCTAAGACGTCGGATGATGTGCTTTGAAACGAGAGCCGTCCTACCTTGGCCTTGCATTGGCCATCGTATTTCTGAAGGCGTTCCCTATTTTTATTGTCTTAAAATGAAGACGTAGTACATCATTTTTGTGCGATTGGTGCCTGTTGGTCACTTGTCGGTTAATATAATATCACTCCTGTACGTTCATGAACAAGGATTTAATCGAATCCTCGCAGTCCCACTGGTTGGTTGCCATTGATTCTTCCAAGTTGACAAGTCGCTACTTCTTTGACAAGTCCTCGTGAGAAAAGCTAGATGTACATGAAACACGGTGACGATTAAATCATCACTCTCAAGACTTTCTCTTTCTCTCCTCTCCATTTTGCCTTCTTTCTCTTTATCGCAGAAATCGTTAACTTTGCGATAACTTCAAGATTTCTTGAAAAATATGCAAAACAATTTAAAAACAAGAAAAATATTTTGTAATGATAATAGTATCGCAAGTACTATCATGCGTTTCGCCATTCCAATCGGCATCACAAGACGTAATCGTTAGTAAGTCGAGCTTAATACGCATCTCCCTCTCGAAAGCACCGAGGACGGTGGAATTTTCCCTTTCTCGTGCTGTAGTTAGACACGCGCGAAAGTTCATTGTGGATAAAGGTGAATATTTTACAACAGGGGTTACGAGGGGCGAGACAAAGAAAACGAGATGTATGTGAGAGGGGAGAGCTTTAGGTTGGTCCGTTTGAGGGGAGGAGGCGGAAAAGGGAACAGCATGAAGAAGTGCAAAGGATTCGACTGACTCTTCGCCATGCGCATCGCATCTTTTTGTTCGTGGCGGAATCTACGTGCGCGCGTGTTCGAACCACTTGCATGCAGAGTGAGACAAAGTAGGAGAGGGAAGAGAGAGAGAGAGGGGGGGGAGGAGGGAGAGCGTGAGTGGAATTATGAGCGGCGAGGGAGGGAGAGATCTCGGAGGGTGGCGGAAGTCGGGCGACTCAGATAGAGGGTGAGGGGAGGGGAAGGGCGGAGAAATGCTGGAGGTATCCGACGAGGTCGAATCGTCGTCATGAGTATGTAGGGAGGGAAAGGTAAAGCAGTAAAGTGGCGCAAAACTTGGGAGGGTGGGAGAAGAGAGAACCGATGGTGACCGTAGAGGTGATGCGGCGATGCAATGGTGGAGGGTAGTGGTAGTAATGGCAATGGTGGTGGCAAACCTGGATATCGCGCGTGTTCGGTCGCTACACGAGGAAAAGAAGGGAAGGGGGGACGATCCGGTCACTGACTCTGAAACTACGATGCGGTGGCCACTCCGCGCTTCATTCATGAGCGCGCCATCTACTCGTGCACGCAGCTGATATGCTCTCTCTCTCTCTTTCTCTCTCTCTCTCCCTCCATCTGTTTTTTTTTTCAATAATTTCATATAGACGTACCGGGAGGAATTATTTGTTTATTAAAGTGACAAATGTGATATAATGAACGAATTTTACAAACTACATTTCTATTTTATGAATTGTAGATATGCATGCAATTGATTATTGATTAGTGAGATTTCTTTCTCCTTCAAAAAATAGAAAAATTTCAAATATCATACACGCAACTTTATTCGTAATGCGGATGATTTAAACGTCGTAATTCGCTCTCTATCTTCACGCATCCGGTCTGTTATCCTGGTGCGCGTGCGTGATTATACCTGATGTAACAGGCAACGTGTGTTAAACGACCATTTAAGACCATCTATCGTGCACGCGGCTGAAGGATGCAGTTCCACTTTATAACGTCGTAATGCGACTGTCTTCCCCCATATTTTATGCTGGATTATGCGAACACTGTCTATGAGAGAAATTATATCATTTCCGGCGTTATCCTCGGTTCGTTCCATTTATTTGTCTGTAATGAGAAACGTGTAATTAAATCTTTCCACGGATTTTTCGAATTTTTAATTTTTTTACGCTTACATAATTCCAAAATTAATCACATTAAAATGTTATTTAAATTTCTTGGGATTCGTTTTTTTTTATTTAAACAGCGAAATTATCAATTCTATTATTTTACATGCACTTACGCGTGTTTGTGTAAGCAATTTTAACTTTTATTTTTTAAAATTTATTATTTACAGTTTTGTTTAACAACAATTTGAAGCTTTACAAATAATTATTATTATTCAGATTAGAAATAAATAAAAACTAGGACTAGAAATAGATTAGAACTAAATTGTGAATATTGATTGAATGAATTCAGTCTATTTATACAGTTTTAGTCTTTAAATAAAATAAAAATCCAGGCTTTTAATTTGTGAAAGCTAAAGATTAATTTATGTAATTATAGTATGGAAAAAATATATTTATCTTGAAAGAGTAATAAGAATAATTATTACATTGCATCGCGATGTAGATATTAATAATAAAATTAATCATATTTCTTTACAACAAATACAACCGACATAACTGCAACCCGAAGAAGCAACTTAAAAATTTTTTTTTAAGAATATACTTTTTTATCATATATATGTGTTATGTATTTTGAGAGAGTGAGTGATAGAAGGAAAGTATAGAAGTGCAGTCAGCAACGACCGGTGAACACGCGGATAAATTGACTGCTGAAATACGCATGCGCGTCGTCCCCGGCTAAATCCCCACCTTACGTGACGGCCGCGTGGCGTCCTGATCAATCTGCAACGTTGCCGGTTCTCTTGCGGTTGTAGAGCTGCTCTGGCAAGTCTGAGTACCTCCCCACCTTTATGTTTGTTACACGCTTGTGCGATCCCTACCACTTGATTCCAACTCCCACCCGTCGCGTTATCCGGACCTTTCTAGGGGGTTCTCCTCACCTACCCCCAGTTTAGCACGTGGAGACGCGCTTCTTTCAATTTTTCATGCCTTATCGACCTGTGGATTCACCAGTCGCCTTCATGACGTAAAATGCTCTCGCGAAAATCTGAGATAGATAGGGAGACGAGATATATGTTTGTGTAGAAGTACGTGCGAGAAGATGCGCCCTCTACGTTTGTGCGTGTAATCGCACTAATGTTCTTATCATCGGAGAGGGAAAATAATAACTTTTTACGCAATAAAGTTATTTCAAATTACGCAGTGAACTTTGATTTAAAATTAACAGCCGTCTCTTTATCTTACTTTATTTCGAGGATTAATAACAGATCTGTATGTTTATAGTTTGTTATCTAATTTGCGAGCAAATGTACATCGTACGTCTTTATATTTTATATATTTATAAATAAACACGATATCATGGCTTATTTCGAGCTTTAATTAAATTAACTTTAATTAACGCTGTTAATTATATTAATTGAAAGTTAATTTAATTAAAGCTCGAAATAAGTCATGATATTATGTTAATTTTTAAGAAAATATACGAGCATTTTTTACTCCATTTGTAAATAAAATATAACATGTGACGAATGAACTATGATTTCTATGTTCTCAGGTGCCAAATGCAAAAGAGAACGCACAGAGTCGGATGATCTCTTCTGCGAAGAAAAGATGCTGATCATCGATGGTGAGTATAGCTCTCGCTATATAATTGTTATTAATCATTTAAAACTACATCGTCAAATTAAAAGTGATAAATGAAATTAATGATATATTTTAGAACACACCGCATTGCGTAAAAAGTAACATAATGCGAAATGGAGCAGATTCATATGCATCAAATGTTTTTTGAAAAATAGTCTTAAGAAAGTATGATAGAAAGTTATGGAGGCACGTGCCTGTGTAGATATAAATCCGACACTGTGTGTGATGTGGTGTGTGTGTTGTGTGTAAGTATGTGTGTATGTGTGTGTGTGTGTGGAGATCGCTGCAGTGTCCTAGATAGAACGTGCGCGACGGGTTCGGAGTTATCTCGAGTGCCAACGTGTCACGTCGTCGCGGAACAAGTCCTTCGCGTGATAAGGACAGAGTAATCGCGCCGAGCGGTGACTGGAGGCAATTCTCGCGAAGACGGGGATGTCACTGTCGTGCGGAAGGGATAGGAGGGGAGTTGCCATCGCCGCTGCCGCTGCCACCGCCACCGCCACCGCCGCTGTCTGGCACGAGAAGGGAGGCACGAGGACGTCATCCTCGGGCTGGAGGCGGCGGCACGCAAGTTTAGATTTCAGTCGGTGCCCGCGACTCACGCGGTACGAGTTTTACTCGATCGCCGCGATCGACGGGAGTTCCGGGAACAGCTGATTGAGCACGTTCGTGGAGGTGTATACAGGCGTATCGCGATCGTGAGTTAGAACGATGATGTACGCACCGTGACGGTCACGAGTGGCCGTAAAGTGCGAGATCGATGAGACCTAGAGCGTCTCTGTTTCTTCGCTATCAACGTGATTCTTCTTCCGTAAATTGCAAATTGCTTGTCGAATTCCGTTTCGTTTGTAACGCGTCATATAAGAATGTATGAATGACGCAACGATCGATATGGGCGCAATTTTCACTACGGAATTCGCGTTGAAAGATGTTCTTTCGAGGATCGTCCCCGAGGAATGAGGTGGACGAGCAACGATGCGACCCTCGAAATCGCTCGAGCGGACTCGCTATTCCGCGTTTCGAAAGTTTGGATTTTTTCTAGCACGCCGACAACTTTGTTAGCCCTCGTTGTATCTTCCCTTCTCTGTCGCAGTCGTCGTCGTAATCATAACCGTCACTGTTACCACCGCGGTACTGCGACGTCGGACCTCTCTCCACGTCGTACATTTCACATTTCCGTGACAGTTTCTCCACGCGACCTTCTCGTCCACATCCTGGACGGACTTGCTCGGTGCGGGGCAGCGACAGTATTACCGGTTGTCGCTGAAATCGAACGATAGCGACGACGACGCGACGACGACATCGATGACGACATTGATGTTCGCGATAGTGACGGAGAAGCGGATATAGCACCCGGTCGATCGATTTTCCCTGGAGAGAGAGTGAAAGCTTAAACGAAGAGCAGCTTAAACGGAAGTTTCGATCCACGCGACTTACAAGGAAGATGGGTGTTCTTCTGCTGCCAGATGGTATTACGTCGCCGATAATGCAATCGCGCGCGAGTCTAAACACCGTCGTCGACGTCGTCGCCGAGACGAATAACAATGTGAGCGGGCTGACGGATGCGAATAATCCACCGCCGACACGGATTGTCGGTATCATCGGCGTCGTCAACAGTGGTGAACCACCGCGACACAGTAGCGATTGGACGCCACCCCCGCCCAAGAAAAAATGGATACGCCACTACCTGCTTGGTGAGGTCCCTTTTACATGCGTCCTGAAACGTCCTAATAAATGACGCGCGCATCTTTTCCTTTCATATCCCTTTACATTTCGCTAATATTTTTATAAAATTTTTATTAATTTTTTTTTTATTAATGCTCGGAATTTTCGAAACAAATCGAACGAATGTTAATTGTTTGAATTATTGCAGCATGAAGATTTATTTAAATAGGTCAAACCGTTCGACTAGTATGCCCGATGAATACAAAAATTTGTAATTCAGCTCCAAATTGTGTTTATTCAAAATTTTCACATAACAAAAATGTAATCATATATTCAAAATTTTGAATTTTCCAAAAATATTTATTCACAAAAAAACTATGAATATTTAGCGAGTATTCATATTCATTCAAATAAAATATAAACTGAACAAGAAACTCCATAAATCATCGTTACCTCTTAACTATAACCGGTACTTTGATGACCTTAAGTATTATAAAAAAAATTTTATTTATTTTTGTCATTGTAATATTCAGATTTTATAAAGGAAACTTAAAAATTTTGAAAAATATTTTAGAAAGATATACATTTTTTATTTATAAATCTATCTATTTGATAGAGTGCCATACATTTTTCAATATAATTCCGGTTATACGACAGTAATGTTATAAATATTTTATAGGATATCTTGGGACGTTCATTATGGATGTCTGTGGACATAAAATTCGAGATATATTATTTATTCTCAATAAAAATGTCTTTGTTTAATCTATAAGTTAAACAAGAACGCCCATCGTATTAGGTGTTGGAATTAATTCGTAGCGTTTTTTAATGAAAGAATGTTATTTATTTCACATGAGCATTAAAAAATACATTAATGAAAGTACTTCCCATCACTTGTAAAACGCTACGAATTAATTCCAACACCTAATATAAATCGCGGACGAAGTGCACGATGTAATTGTAGCCATTGTTTTTATAGATTTTTGTTTTCTCTTGTAGGCTTGCAAGTTATATGCAGATAATATAAAGTAAAAGAAGTGAAATATGTATTCATTTCGTGAATACGAAATGAAAATATTCGTAATCATATTTAAAAAATATTCATTCAAATGAAATGAAAAAATATTTATTTATTTCTTAACGAATAAGAAAGAAATGTATTCGAATGAGTATTTTCATTCATTTTTTATTCATTTATTCGAATATTTGGTGTATTCATTAGACACACTATGTTCGACTTTATTATACATGTAAAATGAAAATAATTCAAATGGAAAAATAATCTGCTAAATTCCTTATTTACATAAGTGGATCTGAAAATAATATTATTAGGTCATTAAAATAAATAGGACCCAGGTTGATGATGTGCAAAGTTGCAAAAAAGTTTTGACATTCTAGCAACTATCTTGAGCGTTCTACATAATTATTTTGATAGTCCAACTATTTTCAGATCTGTGTCTGATCAAACTAAATTTTTAGATACTTCAACAAAACCATTCTTTTCATTTGCAATTATTTTCCGTTTGCAATAAGTACCATATTTGCTAAATTTTTCTTAAAACATCAGTGCAGTCAAATCTTTGGTTTAATCGAATTAATCTAACAGATAGATTATTAATTTTTTGCTGATGAGGCTTTTTACATTTACTGTTTATTCTTTATAACATTTTTCGTGATAATCAGGAAAATAACTTTGAAAATAAGACTTTGTGATGCTGAGCATCTACCGTTTCAAGGATGAAACGAGATCTTCCCACGAAATTAGATCTCGCATCGAAAATTTATTCTGTTGATTCTCGATTTTGAATCGTTTCGCAAATAAGATTCGGTTAAATGGTGCACCACTGAAATTTTATCTTTCGCCGGGCGACTGATGTTCGCCATGATTTTACTGTCTTTTCGTGCTCAATGTTATAACTCGTCTCAGAATATTTAATAACGTATATATTTTATTGCTCCAAAAAATTTATGTACACGACACAAGTAAACTCTTTAATCGTTCGTAGTATACTATCTGTCGATTTTTTAAAAAGGTTTTCTTACATCGGAAAACTCGAAGCAAGCTGAATAAGATGCATTTACATTGAATTTTACGTTGTACACGATATTGCATATTATATTAATCTGATAATCGTTCATTTAAATCTTATATATTTCCTTTTGAATTACTGAAAAATGTTATTAAAATTTATATCTTCATTTACTTGTTATGAATAATGAACATTCATTTTCTTAAATCGTATTTAAACGGAATAATTTTGTGCCTTTCCTCGATTGTGATAAAAAGTATAGCGTAAAAATCTTTACGTGGAGAAAATTTTTTAAAATATCGCAGAAGTAAAAAAAATAAATGGAACTTGTTTGTAAATTTAAATTTTACATATGAAAACAACTCTTCTTTGAAAAATGGCAAGTTAATTAGATGAACAATTATTACTTTTTGTAACGATGTTTATTAAATTACACGAACGTTTTTATCTCTTGTACGCAATACTTATAATTATCTTCGACATTCGCACTGGCGAAGTAAACAGCAAAGAGTATTGGCATGCATTTTCATACCGTTATAAATGAGATATTCCACACGAACTAGATGAAATCACGCATCGTTCGCGCGAATGGACGCGTGTCGACAATATATTTTCATGAATTGTGCGAATATTTCGGTCGAAGCTGGCAGTGAAACGTTCTTGCAGAAAATATAGCAGAATGTGTCTGCAACTATGTGGCAAACTGTCTTCAATTTTATTAAGACGAGAAGATAAAAGGAGTGACTTCTCGGATTTTATTTCACAGGGAAATGTTGTACGTCACTATGTGCTCGCGTTGAAAAGTTGCATTGCTACTCGCGAGAATTGCGTCGAATTTTAAAGAAGACGGTCACTTTCAAGTAGAAGTAATGTGCTGTTGCGTG